ATGAAAATACAAGGTTTGACAGTTTTTGGAAACTATTTGATAATACATCACATTTTTAGGAATTTGAAACACATTTAAATGTGTTGAAACACCCTTAAATTTATATTACTAAATCTTGAAAATTAATATCCCAACGTTGTATTAATCGCATAACTTGTAGAATTTCATCATTTCAGAAAAAAGTGTAACCAATTAATATAAAATCCAATATTAGAACATAAATTGGTATTTCACTATATGTAGAGTTTAGTATATTCGCTTTAGATTTCGACATGGAAACTCACTAGTGTGTGTTTGATGTCGTAGGATCCCGGTATCAAGACATTGGTGTATTCCAAGGCACCACTTGTATCTACTCGAAACATTGTGAGTATTCACGCAATCCCCTATTTTCCGTTTTATGTTTTGGGGTTGAAAAGCATATCCAGAAAAACTATTATTTGCATGTTGTATTTAAATTGATTTGTATCAAACATGATTTCTATTGTATTGTTATGTCTCTCTATGCATGTCTATGCAACACGGAACATGAGAACATATCGTACTAAGGCCCTTCCCTTATCTCTAACCATTAACTCTTTGAGTTAATGGTCATTATGGATAGCGCTAATAGGAATTGACAACTCCCCACTCGCCCTATTGCTGGAGTGCATGATACCATATTCATCTACGGAACGATAAGCATAGATCTCGATAGGGCTTCAATCATAGGTTTGGTTGAGACTCATTGTTTGTCACACCCCAAAACCACGAATGGCGGAAACGTTCAGGGGTGGAGGACGTCATGTACAGTATCACAACAGTGTAAAATAGTAAACAAGCAACAACATCATCCATTGCATTATAAGTAAAGTTTTAATACATGTGTGTGTTCTTTCATTGTAATCAGACACCAAAAATATAATCAAAATAAAGGATGAGACTCGTCTGCCCCATCTTCTCAAAACCTGGCCACCGTACCTGTCTACTGATGACCTGAGAATACAAGTTATTTTGAAAGCGAGTATCAGCTTTAAAGTTGGTGAATTCATAAGTATTTAAGTGTCATTGTCTTGCTTTGATAAACTATTATGAATGTCATGTAAAACCTTTACGTAAGACAATTGATATAAGTATGAAAAACCCTAAGAAATCCCTTATTCCTACTAGTATGAAATGTAGTCTTATACCAAGACCCGAATGTTTTGTAAGTAAAATGATAGTTTTTCCTTCTTTTTGACTACTACGAATAGTAATTGGTCTAACTGATCGTTTATGTGAATATATCACAAAATAAAGTAAATAGGAAAAATATAACCATGTAAGTGTTATCCCTGGATACCAGGACTAACACGCCATCACAGTAAGCGATATGAATAAGCTAATGAACATCCGAAGATTGTCCAATTGTCCTCTGTAGCAGCAGCAGGTTGGAGGAAAGGTTAGTCCCGATATCGATCTACCTAATATAAATAGTAACCTAATGATCATCCGATGATTTTCATCTCATCTTCTGTTACAACAGTAGGATGGAGGAATGGTTAGTTCCGATATCAATCTATCTATTATAAATGATAACCTTAGACATCCATGGATGTTCATTACCCAGTGGTGCTGACAGCTGGGTTCCGGAATGGTTAGTCTTGTCCAGACATCCCGTCGAACAGGGATAGGCAGAAAAATTTACATAGAAGGTACGAATAAATCTTCCTCATAACTCTAGGTACAAGTATACAGGTAAGTGAAATACAGGATAATGTATCTACGTAACAGTACTCATGTATGTTATTCATTTATAATGTAAGCATATGTAAACGTACTCATGTATCATGTAATCATATATAAATGTACTCATGTATCAAGTAATGTACTTGTTTAGACTCATGAATGAACTGACTCTTGTGTGGTTCCTTGTAATAGGAATAATGTTTGATATCTTCAAATTATCCCTATGATAATTTACTGAAAGGTAATTGATTATTCAAGTAGGTTTATACACTTTTACTACTCAAGGGTCTGGGAAACTAAATGAAAGATGACAACTATAACATCAATACATATATAAGAATATAAGTGTATATGCATGGTTTAGTTCAAGAATGTAAAATGGTTTTGTAAGACATCTAAGGATTTTGAACAAATATAAAAAGTGACTTGATGTCATTTTGATAAACATTTCAAAAGAAATACATTTGATAACAAAGTATTTTAAAGATAGAAACCCTTTTCATGCATCACATTTTGTAGTATGTGAAATCCATTCAATGAAAACACATTTATAAAATACATATAAATGATTTAACAACATGTTGTTTTCTACTTGTATTCCCCCCCCCCCCATTAAAGCATTTAAAATCATTTAAAACATTGATTAGGGGTATGAACTCACCTGTAGATGGTAGTTTAGATGAACTGAACGGTGTAGGATTGTTAGGTGTCAAGTGAGGACTTGTACACACACTATGATCCCAATAAACATATAATCACACATATATGCACTCAATTAGACTTAAATTACTAATTTATAATGTTAAGACATCCTAGAACATAATAAACACTTTATATAAGTGTTTTAAGCCCCAGGGATTGCATCTGAGCTATTGTGGGACAAGGTACTTGGGTTTAGGGTTCCAAAGGATCCTATACTTGATTTTACTCTCCATATTACCTCACACATGGAGTTTACAGTTGTAAACTCTTGAGTTTACGGCCATAAACTCCCAACCTTGGTGGTATTTTCTGTTTTGAAGTTCTAAATGATCCCTAGAATTATTCCAACTTGGTGGTTCAGTTCTTGGAAGGGATTAAGGCATAGAAACACTCCGTTGAGGAGTTTACAGCTCTTAGGTCATTTCCTTAGAGTTTGCGGCCGTAAACTCTTAAGGAAAAGTGTTTTTGCTTCCAGAAAATATTTTATTCCCGAAATGATCTCTAATATAATAGAGTGTTGGAATAACAATGTTGCACAAAACTCTAGTGCATCTACTCTCCTGATATTTCCTGAAGTGTAAACCCTGAATTACTCAAACTCACACGAAAAAGTCTGAAAATTAACTGTGACTGCTATAACTTCTATTGAAGTGATATAGTTTATACAAAATGGAAATTTTGGGTTGTCACATTGTTTGCTCATACACATACAAACTTTTTTTCTCATTAAAGCAATGTACTTGTATTTACGAAAAGCCTTATTTCAAGCTCGATTTTATAAACTTGTGAACTCACCAACTATTTTCATAGTTGACGCTCGTTTTACATGCTTTTTCAGGAAATAATTAGTAAGTGGATATAAAGATTCATCATCATAGAGCATGATGCATCGTGTTGAAGTTATTTATGAAGTTGTATTTGAACAATGTTATTTTGGAAAAACTTGTATTTTGTTTCTTTTGAAGCTATAGGTTGTAAACGTTTAAATACTACTATGGTGATGTATCTTTATCTTTTGCAATGAAACCGTTATCGTTGTCATATCTTGCGTTTCCGCTTTAGCGGGGTGTGACAGCGGACAACTCGTCGAGTAGACCCAAAAACCAAAAAGATTCATACATAAATCAATACCTGAGAATCAGGGCGTTACAGGTGGTTGTCGCGTTGTGGCGATGGTAGCAATGGAGGTTGGTGCCGGTGATGATAACGATGATGGTGTTGGTGGTGGTAGTGGCGGATGGTGGCAGTGGTAGCAGTGGTGGCAGCGTTGGTGGTGGTCGTGAGTGATGGTATTCACGATGTTGGTGGTGGCTGTGGCAGTTATGGTAGTGGTGGTGGCTGATGATGGTGGTGTTTAGCAGGTCACTATAAAATATGGTGCACCATTGTTTCTTATTTTTATACAATTAATAAAGCTAGTGAAAGACTATTTTAGAGATTACTTGTTCTCGAATTAAGGTCTATTGGTTCTAACATTATGAATTGTATCTCATCTCCAGTAAAACATTGTAACTATATATAGCATCTGTACCAGTTTATGCTATTCTTTTATTCTCTTGTCTTACTTACTAGATATGTTTATATTTTGGCAACTAATAGTGTTATAGGAATACAACATTAAATGGTTGATTATGTTGTATATATTGATTTGATTTGATGTTGTTTTTAAAGTAATTAAAAAAACTTTTCATCTAATTGGCTCTAGAAAAAGCTTAATAGATATCAATCAAACGAATTTGTTATAATGTAACTCATGGGTTAGTTACTCAGCCATACAGTTACTAGCGTGACTACATATAGATATCAATCAAACGACAAAGTAAGCATTGTGATATCATGTTGAATTGTTTTTGTAATCTGTTCAGGAAGGTGGTTGAGCTATTTGCAAATTGTCTCCAATAAAGATGATGAATGATCAACCACAACAACAACCAGTGCCACAACCACAACCACAACCACAACCAAGGAAAAAAAGAACAACCACACGTCTAATGGATATAACAGAGCCACAATAATTTAACAGTCTTGTTCAGCATTGTGGTGGTAATCAAAATAAGTTCGCCAATGACTACGGGGTTGTTACGAGAAAGTTAATTTCTATCGAATACCCGACTTGGAAGAAAGTGCCAGCAAATGAAAAGGAGAACTTATGGTTGACCATCAAGGTTTTTAATCTAATACACATTACATGTGCTTTCATTTAATTGATATATCTTACTAATAGTTTTTTTTTAAACAAAAACAGAAACGTTGGAATATCCATGATGAAAACTGCAAATCATATATGATTATGACTTGCAACCACAAGTGGAGATCATACAAAAAGAGGCTTAAAAAGAATTTCTTGGTGAATGAGAATGAGAGAAATCCACTTGAAACCTACTCATATCTGGAAAAGACTGCATTGGAAAAGTTTAAGGAAAGAATATCATCAAAGGAATTCCAGTTTTGTAGGATATGATGTCTCTTGATAATATTAATCATTATGTTGCAGATTTATAATAGTAGTTATTGTTTTTGTCAGCATGATATAAGTGAGAAAGCATGGATGAGTTCAATGTGTAATACGAATCTAGCCCGAGTAGGCCTACATGTTTATCGGGGCAACAAACCTAAGTGGGAACAAGAGAAGGCATCGGGTCAGCTGTTGTCACAGTTGTATGAGATAAAAAGCAAGCGTTCATTAGATTATGTGTTGGGGAGAAGATCTAAAAATGTGTCAGGGTCAAAAATAATACCATCTAACATGGAACCCATAGTTAAAAAGATTTTAAGATTGCTCTTAATTTTTAAATTTTTTTTTTTATCTTTTTTGTCTAAGTAATTGTATTGAATATTATGTTGTTTGCATTAACAGATAGATGTCCAAAAAGAAATATCCAACGGTGATTTGTTGTTGGGTCCCGGAGAGGATTTCTTGACTATGGCGATAGCACCGGAGCACCCTGGTCATACTAGGGCGGTGGGACATGATATTGGCTTAAGAAAAGGGATGCAAGGACTTGACAAAAAAAAAAAGAGGAAGGTTGTGGACAAAGAAGTTGTTAGTAAGATGCAGGTCCAGTTAGATGAAGCTATGACCGAATTGGCAGAGTTAAGAACATTGTTTGCGATGCAAAAGTCTAGGAACCAAGTCCCAAATAATGTATGCTTCAGTGTTCAAAACAATAGGTCTGGCTCGACGTCAACATTGGATGCTTTAGATACGATAAAGGTAATTCTTTATTATAGCATCAACCTTTAACAACTAAAAAACCCACAACTTAATGAGTCAGTTTACTTATTTTCATCACAAACTCTAGTTGATCGCATAAATTTATTATAATTATGTGGTACAAGTTGGGAAAAGAGTAATAAAATTCACTTATTTATTGTTTCGGGAAAAACCAAGTATGAAAATAGATACATAATTGAGTAAGAGTTGATGACTGATCATAGTTTTCTATAATGTCCAACTGCTTCAAAAAAACTACAAAATATTCCCTTGTATGTGTTATGTATCTGCTGTACAGAGCAAAAAATAAAACTAGGTATATAGAACTTGTGTAAAAATTACAGAATCGTCCTTATGTTACAACAATTACATAAATGGTCCATGTAAGTTTTTTCTATAGAAATGGACCTTAAAAGTTTTTTTTTACTAAAATGGTCCCTGTAAGTTTTTTTTACAGAAATGGTCCCTATAAGAAACAATTACAAATCCTTGAATTTACAAAAGAAGGCACTATGTAGAAAAAATTACAAAAAATGTACCTCTAATGTATAGAATGCTGAATTTAGCATATTTTTTTGTTTTAATGTGTTAGGTTTATGTTTTTTGAATTTCTTGATATCATATGACTTTGAACTTTGCTGTCAAATTATGTTTTACATCGAATTTTCTAACATATTTACACATGAAATACACTACATGCTATATGATTACAAACAATTACTCATTGTGATTTGGTGTTATCTTATAGTGATATGAACCAAAAGTGTATAGAAATGCAGAATTGGTCACTATGTTATACAAATATACAATAATGGTCCATGTGTGATAGAAAATACATTAAAATAGTTTCAAACTTTTGAATTTAGCATATTTTTCTGTTTTAATGTGTTAGGTTTATGTTTTTTGAATTTCTTGATATCATTTTAATTTGAACTTTGCTGTCAAATTATGTTTTATATCAAATTTTCTAACATGTTGACACATGAAATATACTATATGTTATATGATTGCATACTATTACTCATTGTGATTTGGTGTTACCTTATGGTGATATGAACCAAAAATGTGCCAGAGGGATGGTTTTTCCTTATAATGATGGGTTAATTCACTCACTTCCTCTACACGAAAATCACTTGAAGGTTATGATAGACAACATTGATGAAAGATATAAAGGTATTCCTGTTCCTGTGATGACAAATGAAGTTGGTATCCTAGAAGATGCAGTTGGCACTGTAATTCAATGGCCACAGATCGCAAATTGTTTTGTTATTTACTAGTTTTAGTTTTAGTTTCATATACTTTGGTACCCTTTGGAATGATAAAACTGCATTTGAGGAAAAGGCGTTGGTTACAACTGTTGCTACATGGGTTAAAGAGTTTCTGAAAAATTTTATGAATGATGTGGTTGTCTAAAAGTGTACATAAGGTTAGTTGTTAATTTTTATAATATCCTACTTTTAGTTTAATGATTGTTTGCTAAAGTCAACTCTTTTAAAATGCTAGACAAAAAACTAATTATTTGTTGTGTTTTGTTTTTAAGTGAGGAACAATGATAGCTGTTGTGTTTTGTTTTTAAATGAGGTTGAAGGATAGCTGCAACACTTGATTATTGGATAATACCTTTCCATGGGAAAACAATTTCTTTTTTGAATTTATTTATGTAAGTTTTATGTAATGACCAAATCAAGGAGTTTTTAGCAGCAATTAAGCATGTTTTTGTTGATGACTATAATGATTGGTTATTTAACATGTTTATATTAATATAATTTGTTCATCAACGAACAATTTTTGTTTTGTTTTGAATGTGTTCTGTGGATGCAAGTATCAGTTTGTGCTTTTTATCAATTGTTTTCGTTATATTATGGTTATTTGAATAAAATGGTCATCAATTTAATTTTTATAACCATTGCTTTTTGGTACTGTGATTATAGTTGGTTTTTGTAAGGCTGAAAAAGACCCGGTTATTTGAAAGGAATCGGTTCATATTTAATCCTTAGATGACCCACTTTGAGAATTAGAACCAGACTCTTTTAGCCATATATGACCCGGTTTTGTATGGTTAAACCGTGTCCTAAGCTTCATATATGATCAAACATTAGCCGTTATATTCCTCTTATATGTCCCGATTTTATGAATAACCGGGTTATTTTATATCAGATAGGAGCCGGTTTTAAAACAGAGTTCTATTTCTTTTTTCAAATAGGTCTCACTGGCTGGTTAGAAACCGGGTCTCTTAATCGATTTAACCGGGTCCTATAAGCTTTTTTTTTGTAGTAGTGTGATTTTATATGATAAATGGATGCGTGGTAGTATTTTGGACCTTTAAACCAGAAAACTTGTCAACCGTTTTGATATCTATACATAAAAAATCGATCCAGATTAATTGTTACAATTTGCGTTTTGGGGTGTAGGGCTGTTTTTAAGATGTAACCGTTATGGTTCAAATGAATGTGATGCATTGACCAAAGGCATTGGCACAGATATATGCATGTCTTCTGATTGATACCATGAAGAATTTACAATACAGTAACTGAAATGCTAATCAAAATCAATGGGGTAAAAGACTTTGGAGAGAGATTTGTATATTACTTGAATCTACTCAATGACAACGACTACATATATATGCTGCTTTATTTATACAAAGAATAAAATGATGAGTTAATAATAACTGCCTAATTGTTGTTGTTTCATTAACATTATTGTGTATTCACTATGCACCACGATCATCAGTGTCTTCAAGTATGCTATTAGATGAATAAAACCCAAAGTTATCACCATTCCATGTAGACAAAGATTCATCAGAGGTGATAAATTGGCTGAAAGAAATGGGAGGTTTAGGCTCAGAGAGGTATTTCCATTCACCTTCAAGCATAGAAACAACTGAGGACATGGTGGGACGATCGTTTGGGTCTTCTTCAACGCATAGTAGAGCAATGCGCAACCATTTAAGTGCCTCGTCAACAGGAGAATCATCATTCAGATTTTCATCTATCAGTTTCTCTCCTTTCCCTTCATCCCATAACATCCATGCCTTCAATTGTTAAATATCGTCCAATATAAATAAATATCAACTAATGAGTGTGTTCTTGAAATGCAAAAATATATTAAAAGTAAGAGTGAACATAATTGGCTTACATAGCTTAGAAGGTTTTGATGACGCTCTTCGTGGAACAACCTGCTGTTCCTTTTACCAGAAATTATTTCAAGCAAAAGAACACCAAAACTATACACGTCGGATTTGATTGAGAACATACCCTCCATTGCATACTCTGGTGCCATATATCCACTGTCAAAGTCTCACAAGCAACTTTAAGATAACCTGTATAATAATTTAATATGTGATTTCCTATCAACTTTAAAGAAGGCTTACTAGGTTCCAACAACTCTATCAGTATTTGCTTCCACTTGATTCAATCCAAAAATTCTTGCTGTACCAAAAACAATTCTAATAGAACATTGCTAGCTTTGAGGTCTCTATGTATGATCTTGAGGCGAGAGTCCTCATGAAGATAACGAAGACCCTTTGCTATTCCACTCACTATGTTAACACGCTTAGCCCAGTCCAGTTCTTTTGCTTTTTTAGGATCTTTTATCATAAAACGAAAGTAAATTAAATACACAGAATACAAAATCGATGGTGTTTCAACAGGTTTATAAGGTAAATAGAAAGTGAGGGATGGATGAAGAACTAACCAAAAAGGTAGTTATCGAGACTACTGTTAGACATGTATTCATAGACAAGGAGCCTTTCCTTCCCTTTCATACAGCAACCCAAAAGCCTCACCAAATTCTTATGCTGAAGTTTTATGATTAGTTTTACTTCTGTCTTGAACTCTTGCATTCCTTGACTTGAGTTTTGGGAAAGTCTTTTCACTGCTATCTTTTTACCATCAGAGAGCTCTCCCTGTGATTAAATTAATCAAACTTCAACTAAAAACGTAAAACAGAGCATCATATATGGATATATCGATACAATTCGGGTTATTACCCAATAAACAGGACCAAAACCACCTTCTCCAAGCTTATTTGAAACCGAGAAATTGCTAGTAGCTGCATGCATTGTGTTTAGTCTAAAGTAAATAATCTCCCCTGTGTCATCGTCTGATGCTTCAAACAGCTCTTCCTCTTCCCCTGCAACAAAAATATTATTCGACTCCTCGATTGATCATTGTTGTGATACATAATTCTTCCAGTAAATTCTAATTTACTACATGAATAGCGGACCTTTTTTAGAGCAGATCCTGCAAACCTTTAGGAACAGAAAGAAGGTCGAGATTGCCAATGTTACTGCTGCGGCTGATATTGCTGGAAGGATGAGATTTAACTTTCCTTTCCCTTCAAAATCGAAGTATTAACATATCAACATTTCGTGCGCCACTAAACAAATGTCTAAATGCTAATGAAGAAAATATAAATTTATAACGAAAGTCAAAATGAACCTGGAGGTATTGCTGAATGATTTGTCGGTGGCGATGGGGTTGGGGGATTTGTTGGTGGCAAACCGGTTGAAGGATCCCCAATGTAGATAACAGATATTGTGTATCGTAGTAAACATGAGTATCCATAGTAAAGTAATCCTTCGGCATCACCATTATACCTTGTTTCTAGAGAATCAGTAGCCAGAACCAAGCAATCTTTGCAACTCAGAGATCTGTTGGCCTGAATGCATCGACTTGTTCCATAAATATAATTGCCCCCAGAAGTACGTAAATCATTAGAGTAATATGTTTCACTGTAACCATCAGACGCTGCTTTCCTTCCCAACTGTTTGAACAAGTTCGTCAGTTTCTCAGTCATTGAATCAATTTTCCAGTTGTTGACATAACTTGTTGTCGGAAAGAATAGAATGTCTTTATCTTCACCATTATAGATGTCAAAGCTACTATTAGAGTAGCTGAGAATACAGGTACGCTTATACCAACCTGTCGCTTTCTTTTGGCTCGGACACTCCTTTTTTAGCCGGTCCTTTGCAAACCTCAAACATTCAATACAGGTATCGTCATCTAGAAATTCTCTGGGGCATACTCCAAGGGCATAAGCTGTGTTGGTATCATCTTCTGGTGAAGATTTTGAAGATGTGTAAAATAAACCATCTCCCTTAAGTACATGAGGAAGAGTAGATAAGGTATGATTGAGGTTCTTTTCATATGCACTGTTCTGTGTATAGGTTCCTCGGTTTCGGCACTCATGGTCTCCATGGATAACGGTGACACCAGAAAGATGTGTAAGAATATAAAACTGAAATACAACCAACACCCAATTTGGTGAAGCCATTAAAAATTTTCTTGTTTTTATGTATGTGTGTGTATGTGCACAATGTACACGGTGCAGCCTGTATATAAATAGCAACACGTTTGTTTAGAAACTTTGGTTTTCTGAATCATAGAGCCTGGGAAGCATCGACGAAAATTCAAACATGACTATAAGGTCGCACAAGTAAACGGTGCCCGGAGACTCCATGCTAATTGTGACTTCTATGCAGTTGTACAGGACGATGAAATGAATGCGCACTAACATATTTGAAAGCGAGTGGAGTGAAACATTCAAACAAGCCATAAAATTCTACAAAGATTTTTCTAATGTGAGTACTAGTCTACGTATGACGGCTAAGGCCATCGTCCATTAAAGCTTGAGGATACGAATAATCACATACCATAATTAATATTATATCCCTTAATTTATATAAAAACATTAAACTTCACTCTACACATAATAAACATGTTATCAAATGGCCAATAACCTAGCGGTATGAACTAATCATCTCATATGAGTGGTTAGGGGTTGAAGTCTCGGTAGAGATATATGTGTTTATTTAGCAGTAGATTAGTTAGTTTGTCGTTTAAAAAAAATAAAAAAAGTAACGTAATAAACTTGTTGAATATTAATTAAAAGGATAATGACCTAAAGTTTTGTGTTGTGTGACACAGCAGTTGACCGTCCACTTCAAACATCTTCACACCCTAATTTAATTTATTCCAGCAGTCTATAGACGTTTAAAAAACAAACAATATGTTGAAGTCGGGTCGCAGAATTCATACAATTTCACTACGAAAAAACAAACGGTACCTAAGTTTGACATATTTTTATGGATTATATGTTTACTATTCTCAGTTACCTGAAATTCTTTTTTTTCAGTTTTATTATTTTACGTGGTTCTAGTTCATTAAACTCTTACATTTTTTTTTGGAAAGGGAACTTCCCTAACGAGGGTTTCCGGGCCAGCTTTCGCGCACCGATTTGTCCCCCGCTGCAAACATAAAGCTTTGCCTCATGCCCTGGAGTCACTGCAGGCGAACCTCCATGGCCACAAGGGCTGAGTGGTGTCAGGATTTGAACATGGGTCAATAGGTTATCCACCATATCTTCCACATGCCTTACCAAGTCACCACAACCCAAATGGTTTAAACTCTTACATTTGATAGAAATGTTCGATGTTTACCTTTTTATCTAGTTCATAAAAAACCTTTGATGGCATTTCTGCCAAACACCACTAAAAAAATGGAACATAAGACCTGTCAAATAGGACTCGGTTCTTGAAATAAACGAGTTATATTATGTGAAAGTCGAGTTTTATAATATGAGTGTTATATGACCCATCTAAAAGTAAAAAAAAAAAAAATCAGACATATGTTATGATTAAATAACCCGGTTTCTATATAAACAACCGGGGCTTTTGGGTATACAGTAATATGTCCTTGTTTTTATATTACAATTGAGTTATATGAGCTTGTGACACGAATTATGAAAGGATTATAGGATGCGTTGTTCAACAACCAAGTTCTTTTTACATGAATTAAAGATACAACATAATTGTATGTCAAAGAGGGTAATCAAATTAACCCATGCCAATCTCAAGCTCAAATTCAGATAATAACTACAAGCTCAAACTCGATCTAGCTTTTATTTTGTAGTTTAAATTAGTTGAAGAAATCATTGCTTAACCTAAAAAACTATACAAGTACACCTTTTTGCATATATAGGATTACGGCATTTATGTCAATGACACCAAAAATAGTAAAACGTACAAGCTCTAATGCGACTTAAAACATTATCTTTTATTTGTTTAAAAACTCCAACTAACTCAATGTCTTTTGGTCTCGTCTATTTATCAAGCTGTAAATAACACAAAAATACAAATTAAGTATTTATAATCACAAATAATCTACAATATATAAACAAACAAGCTCCAGATGATGAAATGGACATTTTAATAATACGTTGCCCATTTTGGTGCATCATATTATTACTAAATAAAGAAAATTAATGATGTTAAATCCTAGAGATAGCAACCTAATTTTATATATTTGTTTACTAGAGTATCATAGTTTTATTTGGTCTTACTATAACATTGTGCTTTGAAACATCTTCCTAGTTATACCAATGTCATAAGTATACAAAGACATCTGACCTATAAAACTATTTATAGCAAAAGAAAAGTAATTAACTCTTTTACACGCACACAAACGTTATATGAAAACAATTATATATGCTATTTAAAAAGAAACATTGGTAAACCACAGCCATCATGGAACATCAAGATAGATTGGAAAGGAAGCGAATAGATACACCAGTAAACGACCTTTTAATACCCATAAAATTCTTGAAAATTTAAAACTTTTTCAAACATTCAAAAACCATTATTTATTAAAAAATGTTTTCAAAATAGCATCACATCAGATTATCCCAAAAATCTAAATCATAAAATGCGAGAAGGTGCACGATTAAGCATTCGCCTTCGCGCCATCATCCGAAGTACTAGAAACAAAATCCAATACTGTAAGCCCCAAGCTTAGCCATTTTCCCCAAAATACCAACGCCATACAAATCATAACCATATTATACCAAATAGACATCATGCATATAGAGTCTACAGTATCACTGGATTGTCCTCACTGAACCTACAGTCTATCTGGCCTACTCTCAAAACCTTCAGCATGTCTAGGGTTGGGTTGGGTTGAGATATGTATCAATATCTAGCTAGCATGTACAAACAGTCAAACTGATCTAACAAATCATTAATCATAGCATCATCCAATATACCAGGATACCAATCTAACAGGTCACTAAGCATATTATCATGCAATAACCAGCAAAACAATCCAAAAAGGGTCGGTATTGGTGCGTTCGACCCTATTAGTATAGTAAGGAAAACTCACCTCACAAATAGTGTTGAAATGAAGAAGACCTATCTCCCACTCTCAGATCTAAACTTAACTGCCTGTAACCATCATATACTAATTCCAATAAAATCCCAAATTGCAAAAACATCTTCAGAAGTCCAACTTGGTCAACCCTTAGTCAAAGTAAAAGTAAATAGTCATGGTCAACAGTGCATGTTGACCCAAATCGTCGAGTTTATCCACTACCTCATCAAGTTCCTCCAGATCCGAAAAAAGTAAAACTAGGGCTAACTCGCTGAGTTACCTGAGTAACTCATCGAGTTCCTTCAGAACTTCATATCAGAAAACTCGAGTCGACTCGTCGAGTTACATGAGTAATTCGTCGATTTCTTTAGTTTCTAGAATATCTTGAAAACTCTCATCCACTCGCCGAGTCATTTCACCCACTCACCGAGTGCACTCATAATATAGAAGGCGGGTAAACCCTAACCATCTCGTCGAGTTGTCTTATATAACACGTCGAGTTCTTTCAACCCATTTCTCAATCAGACACTTGTAAGTGAGACCAAAGCTCCAAACTGTAGATCTATCATCCTAGTGTGTAGATATCATGTAAAGTTGCCAACTGTATGTGCATGCAAGGCCTCAAAGGGATTAAAAAACTGAAACTAAGCCTAACCAGAGCTTTAGGGCTTGGAGAAGGGTAAAAGATTCATAAAGCTTGAGGATTCATGTACATGAGGGCCTAGAGGAGTCCAAATCTGAAACTACATCCTCTAGAAAAGCTTGAATCCAAGAATAGCCCCATTTTGCATAAAAAAAATATCCATATACTTATATACAAAGAGATATAAGAAATGGAAAACCAAGTTAAAGACTTCTTACCTCCAACTGGATGCATACACGATGTAGATATTGGATCTACAAGCTTCCTGTTGTTCCAAGCCTCTAAATCTTCAAGCCTCTTCAAGGAATTCACCAAACACACACTTTTAGCCTCACACACACATTGAAAATAGAGGTTAGCTCGATTAGAATTTCTCTCTGGACGTGAAAGTGGCAAGGGTGGTTGGGGGAAAGGGCTTAATATCCTTTAAAAAGGGTGCAAAACCTAAAAATTAGGGTTTTCATGCATAGTCTCTACTCGTCGAGTTGGGGTCCTCCAACTCGTCGAGTAGGTTCCATAAACCATGCGGCATGATCAATATCTACATGACGAGTTGGGGCATCCAACTCGTCGAGTAGGACTATGATTATGAATATAAAATCTATAAAAATTTATACCTAGGAGTCGGGATGTTACAGACCTCAAGCAAGGGAAGAAAAAACAACATGACGATGGCACGTAAGACCTATAGGTAAAGGCCTACTAATAATGTAGGGAAATGGAAAACCTTTTAATCTTTACCTTGTTAATTTTCCACTACTGTATAACAAAAAAAAAAGCCCACATGTCCCTTTGTGTGAGAACCCCAAACTAGAAGAGAAGAATCGTTCGAGGGCGGATGAGTTCATGTAGTATCGTAACAGTTGAATATATAGTAAAGAAAGTAAAACAATCATCATATATATATATATATATATATATATATATATATGTATGTGTATATATATATATATATATATATATATATATATAATTTAAAAGTTACATTGTTGAATGATACTTGTTCAAAATAAATTACAATATGATGACAAAATGAGTTTTAAACTAACGCCTTAGCGTCATTTCTCCAAAAGCTGGGGTTTACCTGTATTACTGAATCCCTGAGAAATACAAGTAGTTTTGAAAGAGTGTCAATAATTAAGTTGGTGAGTTCATAAGAATTTATGTATAAAATTTGTATGTCTGGTAAAAAATCACTGAGTTTATTTATGAAAAATCCAATATTTTTCCATGAGTGTGTGGTAGTTTAAAAGTTCCAAAACTGTAATGCATTAGTATTTTTTCATGTTTACAATAACAAATTTAAGTATGTATAAGATCACTAACACATTTGACAACCCCGCAAACCATCGTGTTTTTAATACTTCATGTGAGTTTTATTTCAATGCTATTAACCTAGACTGTCTGTAATAATGTTCTTCAGACATTGGAATGTTATAACGTTTGTCACCCCAGGCCTGCTAGTCTAACTGTAGCTAACAGTTTAGGTGCGGGATTGTCAATCCTGTATAGATCAAATATCTGTTGGATAAGGTGCCTAAGTCCATAACTATTTGTGGTATGTACTTGACCCGACCCGGCATGGTCCATTTTGGTTGCATGGCACGATGCAATTGGATAGACTAAATGAGAGAAACAACACTTGTGGTTTATTAATATATTATAAGTTCTAATATATTAATAATATTATTTAATTAGTTTGATCAAGAATTAATTTAGAATTAATTAAGTGATCAAAAAGATAACTAATTAAATATATGGGTTGATTATGTAAATCATCCATATCTTGTATAGTGGACTAAGAGGCTCCATGGATAATCAAGTTGGGTTAAACCCATTGGATGCTCCATGGAGGCTCCATGGGAGTTACAAACCCATGGGTCATGGAAATGAAGAGTCATGGCACATTAGGGTTTACATGGTGTAACCTTAGATGTGTCAACACTATATAAAGCTCATGTTTCTCCCAAAATCGGCTAGACATGCATACTTGAGGGCTAGAGCCGATTTTTAGAGTGTTATAATTTTTCTCCAAGTTTACTCCATAGCATTTGGTGTTGTGTGAAGCATTTGAGGCCTCACACTTGGGGTGCTAGGCTCACATGGTTTCAAGAATCAAAATCAACAACAAGGTATGTAGTTCTATCTTTTATTCAAGTTAAAATTGTTCCCCGTGTATGCTAGATAGGATCATAACCTTGGAAATCAAATTTGCATGATAATTCGACAAACATAGATCCAAGGTTATTAGGGTTGCATGTACACTTAGGAAGTGTTAGAATGCTTAAAACCCATCAGCGGTATCAGAGCCTAGGCTTGTTTGTTGATTATTTGTGCAAACTGTTGAAAAAATCAAATTTTCTATATTCTGCTCGTATGAACGCGCCGAGTCCATGGGGGGACTCGACGAGTCCATGACCAAATGCAAGCTACTCGTCGAGTAGAAGCTGCAGTTTTCAGAATTTCAATTTTAGTTGCTGGAAATGTACTAGAAACATTACCCTAAATTGTTTTGGTTCTTCTAAACATGTTTTATATGGTGTAATGTTTATACTAATCCATTTACAACGACA